TAGCTCTCTGTGCCTGAGGAATGCCAAGTGTCTGGGGCACCGTCTGTCTCGACACATAGATGAGTGTTCACACCTGCAGGTCTGACCAGCTGCAGGCAAGTGTGTAGCTTATGTGTCTGCATGTATGACACACATCTGCTGGGGGTGGATAGGGCAAGTCCACAAGTACATGCACACATGGACCTATGTGTGTGCACTGAGGGCAGGTAGAGCTCCTTGGCACAAGGGAGCACGTGTAGCTAAATCTTCTCCATTCCCAAAGCAGAGTGCCCCCCCAAACAGGCCAGGGAGGGAAAAACTAGCCAGGGAATTTCCTTGGAAGAAAAGTACTAGAAGATATGGACCAAAGTGCCATCCTATTGAAACTTAGGTTCTGTGAACATCACGTGCATATATGTGCACCTGCACACACTCCCTAGGCTCTGGCCTTGGCTAGGGATTCCCTAGGCCCCTCCTGGTCCCTGACCTCTCCCTCCTGCTGCTCCCCTGCACCCTGGAAGATCAGAGACCCTCATACGGGTTGAGGTCTCTCTGACAAGTAGCAGCAGGTGGGAGGACTAGGATGGTCAAAGCTCCTCAGGTTAGGATGGTGCTCTGAGGGCAGAGCTGCCCAGTTAGGCCTTGTGTTCTCCCACCCTGGCCCCCTACAGATGAAGGAATCGAAACCCAGCCTGCACCTCCAATCTTGGCAGAATCAGGAAATGAAATTTCAACTCCATTCAACTAAGTCCAGCAGATATTTAGAGTGCTCCCAGGCACGAGGCTCTGTAATGCGGGGAGCAGTGTGAAGGGGCCCTTCTCCAGGTGCTGCCTCCCAAGACAGCTTTAGGTTCAAGAAATTAGCTGCAAGTTAGGGGTTTGCTCCCTACCAACACCCAAAGCCAATGTCTGCCCCCCAGCCCTCACCCCTTTGACCAGCCATTAATAGAAGCCCTGCCAGTGAGAGGTACATCTGGGAACCATCTAGAGAAGATGTCCCACTGCACTGGTGGCCCAGTGTACCTCGTTGGCCCTTCCCCCACCTGCCAGGGCACAAAGGACCTATATGAGGGGTGGCCAGCGAGGGAGGAGGCAGAGGACAAAGTGGTACCCTACTCCTTTAGTAGATGGTACAAGGAGCTAAGGAGGAGCTTGGGAGTCTGGGCTTTCCTAACAGTTAAAAGGGAGAGCAATTACTCCCCCTAAGAGGGCCACCTGCCTTCCTAGTCAAACCCATAGGCAGGCTCTCTCAGCTTATCCCAGGGAAACTGCCTGGGATTTTGGTCTCTGAAGCAAAATGTGCAGTATGATCCTTTGGGTGAGGCATAAAAATATTAAGGTTTTTTTCAATCTAGAAATGTAAGACTTACCAAATATTTAATAAATGGATGGACTCCGTGCGCGTCATTCGTCCCAATTTCAGATGGTCTTGAGTCCCTGAGGCTTCTCTAGGATTCCAGGGGATGAGGGTGAACTCCTCCATGTGGAGTGTATTGGGGGGTTGCTTCATACTTTGGGTTCAATCTGGTTCAAACTGGTTCTAGCCAGTGTGATGTGGTTCCAGCTAGTTTGATACTATTTGAACTGGCCCCAGCCTGTATGATCTGGTTTGAAACAGCTGTAACTGGTTTCATCTGGTTTGAACTGGTGCCAACCATTTTGATCCAGTTTGAAATGATTCCAGACAGTTTAAGGTGGTTTGAACCAGTTCCAGCTGGTTTGATCAGGCTTGATCTGTTTGTAACCATTTTGAACTGGTTTGATCTGGTTTCACCTGGGTTTAGATGGTTAGATATGGTTTGAAGTGGCTGGAACCAGTTTGAAATGGTTGGAACCGATTTGATTGGTTAAAATTGGTTTGTTCCATTCGGAACTGGTTTGAGCCAGTTTGAACTGGTTGGAAGCAGTGTGAGCCTGCTAGAACTGGTTTGAAAAGTTTGGAACTGGTTCAAGCTTGTTGGGACCAGACAAAACATGGTTCAAACCAATTCTGACTGGTCAAAACCATCTTGGCCCCTACCATTGTCTGTTGGGCAGATGTGACTACGTCTTCATCCTTCATGACCGCATGTGAAGTGGGCATTGAAGAACATGCCTCTCACAGGCTTTCAGGCTATTTGCTGCTTCTCAGTTTTCATGTGCAGGTAACTCCAGCCAAAGGTCTTGTCTTGACAGGGTTTGTCATCCTGAAAACTCTGGCTGTGCTTTTACTAACTTGTGCTCTGCCCAGACCCCTCTCTTGGCTTACTGGCTGTTATCTTCAGGCCATCTGAGACAATGGGCTTGGGTGGAAAGGGAACACCCTTAATCTGATCTTGGCTGCTGGGCTGGCTCCCATTGTGTGGCAGAGAATTCATAACTGGGGAAGCTTGAGAAAGGCTTAGGGCTATAGTCTTAACTCCTACTAAGGCTGTGTTTTCAGAGCCAACTTAGGTCACTGCTTCCTTGTGGGGTACAGAAGCAGTTGGCTTTGATAACTCTTCAAGGCTCCAAATTTCTAGCCTCTAAGTCAAATAAGATTGTGAGCAGAGGTGCCCGCTTAGCAGAACTATATTCTCTTCCATCTCTGCTTGCAAACTGGCTAGGTTCAACCTGAGTTCATCTCTCTTTTCTATGAATCTGCTGAAAGCAGCAAGAAGCAGTCAGTGCTCGCCAGTTCTCAAGTTCTAGAGTTAAGCCTCAGAGAACATGTGGTCTCTCTATCAAGGTATCATCACAGCTGAAAAGTTCACTAAATCTCCTGCCAGCAAGGGTCATCAACCTCCGGTCTGCATATCTGTGCTCATTCTACCTGACTGTGAAGTCAAGGCCACACATCTGAGTCATTTTTAGTCCCATAGTCTAAATTGACTGTGAGGCTACTCTAACTTGGGACACCAAACATAATGCCAACTTCAACAAGACAGACATTTATTCCTCTCTCACAGGAGAACCCAGATGGGGGATGGTTCTGTCCTGTGAAGTCCTTGGGATTCTGGGCTTCTTTTGTGCTCTCCCTATCCTGGGAGTGTGTCCCCACCCATGTGGTCCTGAAACAGGATGGTCCCCAGGAAAAGAGGAGGTACCAGATTCCCTGCCCACCTAAGGGAGGGTGGAGCTGAGGAGGGGAGGGAAGAAAAAATGAAGCCAAAGAGGAGACTGGAGAAGGAAGGAAGTAGGATGGAGAGCAAGAAGGAGACACGGAGGAGGCATGTGGAGCAGAGAGACATGTAAAGAAGCTGTGGCTGCTTCTTGGTCCTGGACTGGGTGAAACAGATGCGGGTGAGAGACCCATGGGGAGAAGACAATGGCAGCTTTTTCTTGGTTTTGATTTTGTTCTTTTTCTCCCAGTCTGGTCTGACTGTTTCTGACCCTTTTCTATGGGTCCCTGCTGGAAGGTGCTTTAGACTTGTGGCAGGCTTTCAGGCCTTGCTCTGTGCCTATCCTGTTTGGGTGGACTCTTACCCATGAGGGGATGGGTAACGTTAGGTGCTTGATTTGGAAACTATATTCTTTGTCTTTCCTGTATTACACACTAATTATATTAAAGTACCTTTCCATTAAAGGTCTTACATGTTTTGTGTTGATGCGGTGGATGGCAGAACCTAATTAGAGCAGGCAGGTCTGGGATTCAGGGGTGTCCCTCTCCCTGCCCTGTAACAGTTCAACATGGTGTATGCCCCAGTTCTCATTCCTGGGAACAGGAACGGGAAAGAGGCAGGCGAGTATGCAATCTAGGAGCTATACACATCACCTCTGCTCACCTCTGTTCAGTCATGTGGCTATCCTTAGTTACAAGGGAGACCGTGAAATGTTGTCTTCATTCTGGGCTACCATGTGCCCAACCTAAAAGTTTAGGAGTTCTACCACAATGAGAGGGAAAGGGAAAAAGCAATGTCAGGAGACAATTTGTCATCTCTCCCACAGCCTGTCTCTCCTTGAGACATCTCTTTGAGGGGCAAGGACTTCCTCTTCGTCACTTGTAGGCCAAGCCAAATGTCCAGCTCAGGGTAGGGATCTACATGTTCAGCTTTCTCCAGACCACAAGCCATTCCAATCCCAATGGACATTTGTAGCCAAGATGATTCAAATTTAAAGGGTACCTTCACCTTTAGTAACCCAGGCAACCCAGGCTCCTAGCCTGTATGTCTTCAAGTTCTCCAGCCTTGTGGAATCACCACCTATACCCAATATTCTGAGGCTTTCTGAGACTAGAAATTTGTTTCTTCTGATTCATTGTGCCTCTCTAAGGTCTCAGCTCCTCATGGTGGCCCTCAGCCCTGTACCTGTTGTTTTCTCTCAGAATTGCCTTTCATTAGCTGATGTTAGGCTTCCTCCTTCATCTCTCCCAAAGTACCAAACACCCAAGGCTCATGTGTGTAATAGATGCTGAATCAAGCTCAAGAGTAATGGAAGATGATACAGTGCAAGGTGGAAAGATTTTCAAAGTCAATAACTTCAAATTCACGGTCATACATCACTTCCTCAAACTCTGTTGGTCATTCTCCACCTATGAAATTTCTCCTCAGCAGTGTTTCTCTTTCAGTCCCTACTCTCCTCCATAAACCTTCTCTCCAGGTCCCTGATACCTCTGCTCACATCCATGCTGGCCCCTGGAGCACTCCCTTGATCTGCCTTCACAGCATCACTAGTCCCTTCTGTTCTCTAAACCCTAAAGCCCATCACTCTGTTTCCCTAAGCTAAATGGCCATCAACCACAGAGATGAGTTAAGTCCTTTCTGTAGAAGGCAGAGGGGACTACAATCCATTTGAATTTTAAATACCCAATTATTTTCTCCCCACTCCAAATACAATATCTCATTGGATCCTCCAACCCCTGGAAGGTGAAGTGAGCCTCCTGAGGCCCAAGGGTGTTTATCACACAGTGGGTGACGGGCAGGGCTGACCCAACACCCTTGCCTGGGGAACAGCTGGCATCACTTTGGGTTGTCTCCGTGTGCTCTGTGACATGAATCTTATTTCCTCTGTCACAATTCCCAAGGGACAGGACCCACTCCTTCCCCAGAGCCTAAGAAAACTGGGCCCATACTAGCCATGTTCAGGGCCCACTTGTCCTGCCAACCAGTTGAAATTGTGGTAAAAACAATGGTGTCCAAAATGCTTCAGGGCTGCCCTCCTTGGATACAGCTACTAGACAGCCCCTAAACAGGCCCACATGGGACTGAAGCTTCAGCTGCAAATGTCCTGTCCCCACCCACTGACAGGGCCAGGTCAGCCCCTATTGGGGTAGGAGGGGGGGGAAGGAGGTGAGGGGAGAGGCTGGGATTAGGGGAGTGAATTGAATAGCTGCTTTCTTCTCCCCGGCTTCCCCACCCCCAAGTGGTCACTGATTAACCCTCAGACCAGATAACCCTTCCATGGGAGAAAAAAAATGTGTGTTTACCCTGGGTCATAAAATATCAATATTGACTTCTCATGAGTGAAGTCAGAGGGGAAGGGGGTGAGGCTGGCTGCCCTGCCCTCTCAGGGTCTGACACCCAAACCCTGCCTACCCAATCTCCTTTCCCATGCAGAATAATGGGTGATCAGGCTTCTGTACCTGACCAGGCCGGGTTCCTGCCTGCCTCCATCTCAAAAGCATTGCTGAAGCAGGGGCCCAGCCTCCCCAGACTATTCTCCACTCTCCAATGAGACATGGGGACCCCATCCCTTTGCCACACCCTCCACCACCCCAACTTGACCACAGCCAATGAGGGAGTTGTCTAGGTTGTGACTGCTTCTGCGCTGCAGTTTCCCTCTGGGAAACTCTGGGACTTGAACAAGTTACAACTTGGGCCTCAGTTTCCTTCTTTGTCAAATGGGATAGTAATGGCACCCGGCTCGTTGGATTTGGGACATTTAGGATAATTGGTTGAGATCACTTAGTGCTTAGGAGAGGCACTAGGAACTACTGCTCAGAGAAAGCAGCACTTGCTGGCCTGCTCCCTTTTTCTCTTCTGCCGCCTCCCTCTTGAGACACGTTGTCTTCTATTCTTGTTCCTGGCTGAGGCTCCTTGACGTGGCTTTTGAATGGACAGTGCAGGACTTACTGAGGACAAGAAACTCAAGATAGTTGGGCCAAACTGGGGGGTCCCTATCCTTCCTCCTGCTGGCCTAGAATGCATGACCCCCCACATACTCTCTCAGACTGTTTTTCCCCCCAGAGGGAGCAGGATGTGGGGGGCGGTGATTGTGGGTACGTGTTGCTTGGGGCAGGGCTCCTGGATCAGAGCTGTGCTATGTCCTCCTCAGTGAAGCTAATCCCAGCATCTTCCACGTGACCCATCTCCCTCATTTTGTGGGTAAAGCTACTTCTTCTTTCTTCTTCCCCTCTCTGTCCTTGTGGATAGTTAGAATGAGGAGGTTCCCCACACAGAGTTTTCAGGCCCTCTGGGTCAGGACCTGCCTGCACCTCACTGACTTCTGGGTTTGGAGAGGAGGCATTTGGGTTTCCTTGGTCCTCCCCCAAGGCTAGGTCCTCTCCACCCCTGTCACCAGGTGAGCCCCACATGATGCTGTGGGAGGGCAAGGCCCCAGCCCCAAATGCCCTCCATTCAGTTCGCCAGAGGGGCCCTGTCCCTGGGCACCTGGTCAATAATTAACATTGAGCAAACTGGCCTCTGGGCCTCCCACAGGGTCAGGACCAGACAAAGGTCCTGCTGTCTCACTAAGCTGCCATCTTGGTGGGGGTTACTGGCTGGTCAGTCACCCCAGGGAGACAAATACCCTCACCTTCACAGAGCACTAAATCAGCTGCCACTTAGCAAGAAGCTATATGGAGGCAGGGAGACAGGCCCTGGGGAAGGGATAGGTGGGTTGGGTGTGGCCATATTTAAGCCTCAATTTGATATTTGTGTGCATGCCTGAGGTGGATGCCAGTGGAGTCGGGTTCACGGTGGATGCCAGTGGAGTCGGGTTCACGGGGGCACGGGGTGGGTCCCAAGTTGGGATGCTTCTGCAGCTGCCTGTCACAGGGCTAATGAGGAGGTCTCTGAAAATACTAGTCAGTCCCCTCCTTTCTCTCTCCTCCTTATCTATCCTTCCTTCCTTGAAAAATCTGTTGTCTTCTATGTGCCAGTGTCTCCTCATTGCTTACCATCCTCCCCAAACTTCTGCTCCTCGATGCCATTGCTTACATTACTCCCATAATCATATAAAACCTTTTCCTCTCTCTCTTTTTTTTTAAAAGATTTATTTATTTATGCATAGAAGAGCTGGGGTACAGGCCAGAGATGGGGGGTGGTGGTGAGAGGATCCACCAGAGACAGAGTGGGGAACAGAACAGGCAGACTGATTGAAATATACTGCTGAGGGGAGCAGCGGGCGAGTCAGGAGAGTCTGCTGCACCATGTGGGTTGCTCCCTGGCCAGCTGGGGATCGAACTTGTGCTGCAGAGGCTGTGGATTTCTTCATAGTGAGGTGCTTAACCCCTTGGGCCACCAGGGAGGCCCAACCCTTTTTCTCTCTTCATCTGAATCTCCTTCCTCTTCCAAGAAGCCCTCCTGGCCTTGATCCTGACCCCATCCTCCTGGTCCCTCCTACACTGAATCTCCTGTTGCCTCTTATCTCATCTTGGGCTGGTGCTGCCTCCCCAGCTGCACTGTAAGCACCGTGGGGGCTGGGAGCCATGACTGCCCCACCCCGCCATGCAGGCAGTGAGCAACCTTAATAGGTTTATCAGCAATGCCACCCTTAGTACAAATCAGGCAAGAAGTTACTTTGCAGAACAACTCAAGAGACAACTGCTACTTGGATCAGAAAATTCCAGATACACAGCAGAGTTTCCAGAGTCAGCCTTGCCAGTTCAGCCCTCCCCCCAGCTGACTGCGCAAGATGTCTGAAAATCCTTGCTCCTCATTCCCTCTCTCTCCCACTTCCAGCCCAGCCAATATGCTGGGTTTGGGAGCAAACATTTGTGGCTGCCCACCTGAGCCAGCCCTCAGCACAGAGGCCACTGCCTCCTCGCCCTTTCTTCTGGTGGTAGCCCCATGCTCACTGCAGGGCACCCTCTCCTGAGCAGTGACAGCTGCCGCGACCACCTTCTCTGCTGCCTGGCACCTTTGGTCCTCCTCTGACATCCCTCATCTCTCGCCTGCTCTCACTGCCCTCCTTGCCAGCTCCTCAGCACCAACCTACCTGTCCCTGGACAGGTGCATGTTGAAATAAGAACACATACATCACGCACACGCCCACTGCCCATGTTCCACTGACCTCCAGGAGATTTAAGATGAACCAGAATCTATTAGGGAGAGGACACCCCAAGCTTAGAAAGCCCCAGGGTCACAAATTGATTTTTTATTTAAAACTAAAATGAAACCAGATGCAGGTGCCACACCCCCAAACCCATCTCCAGCTCCAGCTGAGACCAGGAGATGCATGACAGCTTGGGGCTGGTAGTGTCCAAGCTGGACCTAGGAGCAGGCACCTCTTATTACCAAGCTGCCTTTCTTTAAAATATTTTATTGTCTCAGTCTTATCAAATCAATGACACCAATTTTGGGTCTCAAATAGGGGGGCAGCTATCCTTAAGAAATCTAGGGTCAGGGGAGTGGCAAGTTGGGGGGTGGGGCTGTGGGTTGCCTGGCAGACTGCCCTGGGCAGCTTTTTCCTCTGCTTTTCTCCCCATAGGTCCTGTGCCCCCCAAGACTCCACCTTAGAGACTGTGGGATACCTCTAGGAGGAAGCAGCAGGACAAAAGGATCTCCTCAGGTTTCCTCCTTGAAGAAAGGCCTAGAGATGAGGAGATATGGGTAAGACTATCAGCAGAAGGCCTCTCCCCACCCCTGGAGCTGTTGTAATTTATTTTGTCCTCTGCTTCTACAGAGCAAACACTCTCCCTACCCTGCCTTTCTTGCCACTAGCACATGTTCTGGGTAACCCCCTGCCCTAGCAAGGGTCACTGAGCACTTGCGGAAGGCACACGATATGGGCAAAACTTGGGAGCTGCTGGGGGACACGCCCATGGTGATATTCCTGTGGCCATATGCATTCCCCCTGGGCTGGGTCTGAAGTTGCTTTATCCTTTGACCATGCCTCAGAAGAGAACTGGCGCACGGGACACAGACCTCCACTTGGAAAGCAGGGAAGGAGGGTGGTGGGGGGCAGTAGGGACTGAGGGGAGAGGCAAGGAAATCAGGTGTGGAGGAGTGATTGGAGCCGGTTGGCACAAGGTGAGGGGCCCAAGGCCCTCTGTGTGGCAGAACAGGTGTGCCCCCCAGAGCAGCACCTCCTCTCCACTCCCAGGCGGGGTTTCCTGGCACACACCTAGGCCTCACCATCACCAATCCCAGCATCATGGCGCCACCTGCTGTGTAAAAGAAGCAGCACAGCTAGTACTCTGTTGAGGGGGTTGAGAACTTGGTGTGATGGTAACTCCGGTCTCAAGATCACAGCCTCCGCTCTGGACTTCAGTGTGGGGTGATCTCCCAGCACCCTCAGGTGCCTCTCAGGTAGCCAGTGCTCTGGACAGCCAGATTTTTCCTCTTATCCAGCTCTCCACACTGTTATTCAGATCTACCAGCAGAGCCTGCAAACCCCACCCAGGTCTCTCACTTTTGGCTCCTTTCGTTGGCTGCCCTGTGGCCACAGCCCCGAGTGTCCTTCCCACTACCTGTCAGTTCTTCCCCTACATCAAGGTTTGCCACCTTCTGGGTGAATACTGGGCCCTCACCAGGCTGAGTGGCCCTCTGGGAGGAGGGCAGTAGAATGCACAGGGGTTGCCTGGGTCAGCATGGGCTGGGCTGTTGGGGCCAAGACATCGTCCAAAGCAGAGTGTTGGGCTCAGCACGAAATCCGAATCAGACAGTTTATCTGAAATAAGCTGACTTGGCTCAGCCGCTAAGCGTAGCTGGGAACCGCTAATCCTTCTAACGATTCCTTGGGCTTGATCTCTCTGTTCTATCCCTGCTTCCTTTCTAACCCTGCTTCCACTCCCATGCATAACCTAGGTGGCATCCTTTCTGCCTGACTCACCGTTTCCTGATCATAGTCTCTACTGCCCCAATAGTCTTTCTAAATCGCCAGGCTAATTCCATCATGCCTCTGCTACACTCCTGCATAATCTCCCTGTTGCCTTCTGGAAGAAATTCAAACCACCCCACCCAGCCAGTCTGCCTCTCCCACTCCACCTCTCAGCGCTCTCCCTGCCTTCCCTATGGCCATGCCAGGCAGGCTCTGCATCCCCCACACCTGGGCCAGTGAGTTCGCTGGTTTCCCCACCCCAAACACATTCCATTGTTTAGCTCTCCCTCTCCCCCTTCAAGAAGCACCTTCAAAAAGCACCTCCAACCCCAGTCGAGCCCTCTGATGACCTCACTTCCTGGGAGGAGCCTTTCCTGACTGTCCCTGCCATTCCCTGGGATGGTGGGCTCCCCTGTCAGGCATGGCCCCGAAACCGTGGGCTCACTGAGGATCGGGAAGGACGAGGGGGCAGAACCTCTTCTGCCCATTCCCAGGAAGCCACTCTGCTGCCTGACTGGACTGCTCATCTGTCCTCTGGAAGCCCATGTCCCTTCTCTCCCCCCTCAGATATTGTGTCTTGTGGCAGGGACCTTTCATCCATCCTGCAATACCAGAGCCTTTTTGAAAGTTGGGGCCATATGGAAAAGCATGACTTCTGAGGCCAGGTTGTCATAAAGAGTAGTGATTTTTCAGATGAGTTACTCTGGAGGAAACCCAGAGTGCCCATGTCGTGAGCACATGTGAGCAGCCCTTCAGAGAGAACTGTGAGGCGAGGAATGCGGCTTCTTGCCAGTGAGCAGCAGCGCCTTGGTAGTTTGTCAGAGAATCAGGGCCTCCAGCCCCACTCGAGCCCTCTGATGACCAAGCCCTGTCAATAGCTTGACTGCAACGTCAGGCGAAACCCTGAGCTACTCTTCCCCCCATCTCTATCCTCTCAAATTGTTTCCAAAGTCCTGACTCATGTAAAGAGTGTAAGAAAATACCTGTCTATTGTCGCTTCCAGCTGCTATGTTTGGAAGTAATGTATAATGTAGCAATAGATAATGAATACTTATTTAATGATTTGATGATTTTCAACTCCTGGCCAAAGTGAAACACAGTGAATCTCAAAAAAAATAAATAAATAAAATAAAAGTCTTTCAGCTGCAATCAACAGCTGCCCAGGCAGCCTGCACAGACATGCATGTGCCAGGGTTGAAAATCACACATTACAACCAGATGGGCAACTAGCATTGTTCTTAATTTATCTTGTCCTTTTCTCTTCTTGATCTGATGAGAGCATTCCTGCTGTTGACAGGCAAATGTGTGTGTGTGTGTGTGTGTGTGTGTGTGTGTGTATGAGAGAGAGAGAGAGAGAGAGAAAGAGAGAGAGAGAGAGGGAACAAAGGTAAAAGAAAGAAATGGCAACTCATCCATTAGCTTAACCTCTGTTTCTGTATTTCACTCAGGCTGCTTTGAGGAAAATGCTCAGTGTTCTGGGTTCTCACCTCTCCTCTGTCTACTAGACCAGATAATTTCCTGGTGCAGAGTTTGTGGTAAGAGGGGTCCAAGGTCTGTGTGGAGTCCCCTGCCTTCTTATACACACACACACACCCACACACACACACACACACACCCCACTTCTGCATGAAGTGACTCTAAACTATATGATACCAGAGACCCCGGCTACCCAGCCAGGCACTCACACAGACAGCCCTCAGTGAACTGGGGTATTCAGGGAGCTATGACTTCACAGCATTATCCCAGGAGACCCACCCCACCTGGATCTTCTCTATTCACGCTCAAGATTGTATTTCTAACCCATCTCTCAAAGGCCTTTCGAAGGCCATGCCTCCATTCAGATCTTCCTAAAGATAAACATCCGGAGAGGGCCCCTGAGGGACCCCTGGCCTCCAGGGCTGTCTTACGGGTGGGGGGGGGGCACAGCACCCTCTGCTGAGCCCCAAATGCCTCATTGTTGTCGGTCTGCCCTTGGATTGGCCACCTCCAGTCCAGCTCATCCCAAACAGACTCCTTCTCTACCACAGGGCCTGCTCCTCTTTCCCCAGCCCCCAGGTATTTAGTCCTCCATTCTCCTCAAATATCACTCATCCTTCCCTCTCTCTCCAGGGGCTCTGGGGTGGGTCCTTGTTTCCTGTTCCCATCTGGACTCCTCTCTCCTCCTCCCTCTAGAAACCTAGGTGACCACAGGACTTTTCTTAACTGGAAACGGGGCCTTACGAATCTCCAGCTCAGCTCCCAGGTTTAAAACGCTTCACGAATTCCCCAGTGCCCAAGGGACAACACCCTTTGGCAGGGTGGCAGGCTCCTTCCGGAACCTTCCTGGCTTGTCCTCTCCAGCAAACAGGCTTGGCGCTTGCTCGCGCACTCTCCCTGACACACATGGTGCTGGAATGCTCTACCTCTCTTGAGTGCCTGCGAACTGCTCATTTTTCAAGATCCTGCCTGAGTCACCTCCCCTAGGAAAGCGTCCTTAGTCAGAGTTAATCACGCCCTGCTCCATTGCAGCACAGTGACACCATGCTACCTTGTGCAGGCTTCTCCCTGGGCGCTCCTCCTGGCAGCACTAACTGCCTCTCCCCTGGACCGTAATAAACATCTCTGGACGGTCCCCCAGCCTTTGCCCACATCTCTCCCAAGTTATTGTTGGACACAGAGCCCAAGTGGTTCTTGGGACTGAAAAAGTCAGCCACTACACATTCTCTGCCCCAAACCCTCCGGCTCCTCCCAATACACTCATGGGAAAGGTAAAATCCTACGCTGGTCTCTGACATCCTCTCTGACCTGATCCCTTTCCTGGGCCTTCACTCCCTTTCCCTGTCCATCCCAGCCACACTGGCCTCCTTGGTGTTCTTGAACACCCCAGCCCCGCCTGTCCCTGAGCCCCTGTGCCTCATCTGCCCTCTGGGCGTATCTTCCTCACCAGCCTCAAGTCTTTGCTCCTGTATCACCTTCTCAGCAAAGCCCAGCCCTGTGACCGCTGCAACCCGCCCCACCTCCTGACCCCCTCGCCTATCATCTTCTAATCCACTGATAGATCCCGTGAGCCTGGAGTAGTGCCGGCATATAGCACACACCCAATAATGAACGAATCAATCAATCAGAGCTATTTATTGGCTTTTATGTGGACTCCCTCAGAGCCTCTGGAGGCTGAATCCACGCTAAGTCACTCTGGATCCTCAGGGCTTAGCTCACTGCCCTGGCCACAGAGGGTCTGCAAGAACCACGTGTTGAGGGAGTAAATGAATGGATGAATGAATGAAGTGCTTCCCCTTTGACTGAGGAGAACATTAGGGGTTCAAGCAGGTTAGAGACCCCTCTACACAAATGATAACACTGCCAAATTGCTCCTGGACTTCTGTGTCAGGGCGTCACTTCCATCCCCCTTTCTCCTTGGGTCCAGGCCCCACTGGGTGTTTTGGAAGTTGATAAATTACTCTCCTCACTCAGGTGAAGCCGCCTATGTACTGCATGAGGCCTGCTATTTTTCAAGAAAAGGTGTGCATTTTGACGGGGGCTATCCCTTAACCCAAGGATTGAAGCAAAGTGGTGAAACAGATGTGGCTGTAAAAGGTGTTTGGAATCCTGGGCTGAGGCATCCAGCCAGCCCTGGGCGGGAGGCTGCTGGCATCGTCTGTAGAGGGTGCTCATTCTTCCTGGGCGTCCTCATCAGAGCAGGGACTTGGAGCAGGAGCTCGGCTCTGAGTTGAGTAGCAGAAACTAAACTCCACACATAGGATGGGAGCAAGAAGGCACAGCAACCAACCAAAGGCCTGCTCTTCCCCCACCCCTTCCCATCTCATCGGCTCCTTCCAGAATCTCAGGGACTAGCAAGGAAGTGATCAGTGGGGATAGGCTTGGCCTGCAGGACCACAATAGACCCTTGACATGGGCTTAGGGGAGTTCAGACTGTTTTTGTAACCAGAGTCACGTGTTCCTTCATGTAACCTGAGCCCCCTGACACGGCATGAGTCTGCACCCCAGCTCCCCAGCTACATCTGCTTCTCATTTCCGCCCCAGGAAAAAGGCCCAATTTCCATGAGCTGCTGGCCCAAGTCGAGCCTGGAGCCTCTCGGCAGCCAACCCCACCCAGCTGGGTTCCATTACTGGGGTGGGAGGTGGGGGCTGAGAGCGCATTAGAGGCAACAGCGTTGTGGAGCTGGATGGGGGCCAGGAAGCCAAAGCTCTTCTGCTAGCTCTGTCAAGGCCTCGCTGTGTGTCCTTGGAGGAATCCTAAACCTCTCTGAAACTCAGTTTTCTCTTGGGGTGGCTCTCTGGGGATAAGAAGAACAGGATTTTCCCAGAAACAACAGAGAGGATGTGGGTGCCGACGCTGGGAGAGAGGCCCAAGCCACTTTCCAACCTATGCTATGGATCAGGCTCACCTGAAGGTAGTTTGGTAGAGTTTGACCTAAAACCTTGTGCTGGTGTGTCTGAACCCAGTTCTCAATTCTCAGCTACTAGCATTTATTAAACACCTTGTATGTGACAGGCTCTGGACAGGAGCTGGGAGACCAACGTGATAAGCACAACCTGTCTGCCCTGAGGGCAGAGGGTGGGGGGCACAAGTAAATAAATAAATACAGTCCAGCCCCGCAGGGTGTGTGGCCAGAGTAAGACTAAAGGCAATAGGTTCTTTTCTAGCCTTTAAGTGGAATCTCACTTTTTAAGATGTTCTTGTTTATTCTTTCTAACAAAGTCTGCAGCAAATTCCATCTTCCTTCCAACAAAGGACCTTACATGGCACCCCCAGACAGCCTCTCCCACTCTCACTTGGTGAGCAGTGAGCAGGTGTGAAACCTCATATCTCAGAACCACAATGTGGGCTCTTTGCAACCAACTCTGCGTACCTGTCCAAATGCCACTGTGTCCGTTTCTAGGAATGAACTTAAGCAAATTCTCGAAGTCCCTGTGCCTCATTTTTAACATTTATTTTTACAAATCAACTTAGTGGGGGATGACTTATACTGCATAAAGCACCAGTGCAGCGCATGGTGTGATGGATATTGACCAATGCTTACCTACCCTTGACAACCACCGGGTCCCTGATTGTCCTTGGTTCTTCCCTCTGTCAAAGGGACAAACCAGAGTACCTGCCTCCTGTGTGTTAGCAAGAGTGGATGAGATAGGTGCCAGGATGGCAGGAGATAGGATGAGTAAGATGCCAGGAGATAGGATGAGTAAGGTGCCAGGATGGCACTGACATGAAGTTGCCCTTAGAGACACATGTTGCTATGGTGACCATGTGCGGGGGAGGGGGGGGCCGGGGAGAGGGGAGAGGAGGTTTTCTGCCTCCCTTCCCTCCTTGAGGCTGGTGCAGGGATGAGGACAGGTTGCTGAGATGATCTTTCTAAGGTTTTCCCATTCCCAGATTCCCAGGCTGAGGGCCTCTGTTGGGGAGATGTGATCCATGTTCTGGACCATGTCCTCTGTATGTCTCCAGGGGCTGGGGCAGAGGAATGGGCCAGCTTTGCACTAAGCCTGGCCCAGAAGACAGGTCTTCTGTTCTTCTGAGACCCTCACGGGCTACTGGTGGCAGGACCAGCTTCATGAGTTTGCAAACTATGCAGTCACTCAGGGTTCCTGATCAGAAGGGCCCCATATTTGGCTTAAGGCTCTGATGTCACCTTCTTGCTATCCTTAATGATCTTTGAACATTATGCATGTGGCGCCACAAATAACAAAGCCAGTAGTGGTGTTAGGGAACGTTAAATGAGAGTTGACTGGTCTCCATCCTAGAAAAGCGGGTGTCATCACCACCCCTTGCCTTCCACACATCCTCTACCTGCCATCACATATACTCACTCGTTATACCTCCGGTGTCTGCTCTCTCTGGCCCCGCCCATGGTGGAGCATCCAGGAAGGCCTGCGTCAGGCAGAGCCGCCAAGCTCCAGAAGACACCAACAGAATCTAGAAGCATGCTTGGCCTGGAAAGCCCCTAGGGGACAGTTCCTACTCACAGGCCTGCTGGCTGGGCCACCCGAATTCCCATCCTCTGACAGTCCTCTCCAGCCGCCTCCACCCGACTGCAGCTTAAGTGAGAAACCACAGTTGGGTGCCCGCCAAGGGGGCTTGGGTTTCATCACATTCAACTTCCCACACCTAGGCCAGAGGCCAGGGTCCTTAGGCTGCTGGCCAAAACCTGGGCTGGAAGGCAGAGTAGGGGCTGGGTTCAGTCCTCACCTAGCTTCCTATGCAGAGTACCCACTCTCTTGAGCCTCAGTTTCCCCTCTATGCAAGAGGACAGGATTCTGTAGGGCTGGTAAAGATGCCAAGGGTATAGGAAAGGTTGGTCTCAGAGATCAAGGTTTTGAAGGAGATTCTAGAACTTGACTGTCCGATAGAGTAGCCACGAGTCATGCCGTTATTTAAATTTAAGTCAAATAAATGAAAGAAAATGTACATTTTAGCTCCTGTAGCCACTCTAGCCACATTCCAAGTGCTCGATGATGACATGTGACTTGTGGCTGCCACACTGGACACCCAGATAAAGAACCTTTTTACCAACACGAAGTTCCATTGAGCCGTGTCCGTCAGTTGGGAAAGTCCAAGTGCTGGGTTCACTGACCCCAAGTGTGGCAGTGGGGGTGAGAAACATTTGATAAATAAAAACATTTGAGGGCCTCCCTGACGGCTCAAGGGATTAAGACACAGACTATGAAGCTGTCCGCAGCCACTGCAGCACATGTTCGATCCCCGGCCAGGGAGCTTCCCACATTGCCCAGCAGACTCTCCTGACTCGCCTGCTGCTCCCCTCAGCAGTGTATCTCAGTGGATCCGCCTGTTCTGCTCCCCGCTCTGTCTCTGGTGAATCCTCTCACCCCCCCAATACCTCTGGCCTGTACCCCAGTTCTTGTATACAAAATAAATAAATCTTTAAAAAAAAAAACTTTTGATAAAGAGGGACCTCAAGAGAGAGGAGGTAGACCCACCATAAAGGGGGTCTGGGGTGGAGATAAACCAAAGGCAGCTTCCAGTCCCCACTCCTGGAGTGGAAAGAGGGCCTCCTGGACCTCTGCTGAGGGACTAGAAGTGTCAGAGAAGAGGGGGTCAAAACTGGCACCCCTTCCTAGCAAAGTGCTTCCCCAAACCATTTCCAAATAGAAATGTCGGTGTTTCCCCCTGCTTCATGTCTAGGCTTGGGGGCACCTGACGTGCTGGGACAGTGGCCCCCATTCTTTAGCCCTGCTCAGAATTACCGGATGCTGGTTTGCGAGAGCTTAATTAAAATTTAAATACATATACTTTTATTTTGTAACCATAGGGCCTGTCCACCTTGGGATTCATTATTGTTTGGGTCTGTCTGGGTCAAATCATTGAAAGATACTGGGTTGATTTCATAGGGACACATTAGAAGGGAACACAGTGGGGGCTGACATGGCTGACCTTAGGGAGAAGGGGGGCAGGAAGAGAGGAGGAGGGAGGAGGGTGTGGGAGGAGGGAGGGGAGATGAGACGGGAGCACCCTTTGTGCCTCTCGCTGAGGTTGTCCTCTCTGTGCATTATCTCTGCTCCTCACAACTCCCTTAGAAGCTGGCAGATGAGGGGTTCTGAGGTCACGCAGTCCCCCCAGCAGACGCAGGGTCGCTAAGGAAT